GGATCTTTTACGTGCATTCCAATGTATACACGGGACCTCGGTTTTTTGTATCATCCGAAGGACTACACAGCTGTCCTTGTCAGTCCCTCCGTCCTGCATCACTGACAAGGGGGAACCACTGGAGCGGAAATAACGGATATTGAAAAATGTTTTAATGAAAAATACGCCGTGATGATTTTTTAACTCATGACCTAATCACACCTTCCCTAATTAATACCCCAATCACTTTTAAAAACACGTTATTCTAGATCTTAGTCATTAAAGAAATGACTTAATTAATATCAATAGACGTATACAATATACACTAACTGTGGAATAATTGTCTCAATGTACATAATATAATTTAATTATTAATTTCACTCTACATGTAAGCAGTTTATTACACGTACATATACATTGATTTAAAACCTGTTAAATTTAAATCATTATGTCCGTCAGTCCGTCTGTCAGGTGGTAAGCTGTATATCACAGTTTTAACAGTTTTAACAAGAAGCCCGCACAACTTCGTACTTTTTATTAAGTTATTAGATATATTCTAAACCAATCAAACAGTTTGTTCTTAAACTCTTCAACCAATCAAACAGTTTGTTCTTAAACTCCAACCACTCAAACAATTTGTTCTCAAACTCCCCAAGATAGATTAAAATAATATATTCATCCACTTCACAGATTGTATTGTTTCAGATAACGGTTTAAACAGAACTCATATGTAATATTTTAAACACGTTTTCATGGTATCTGATGATGACTGAAAACTAATGTGAATTCTTCGTCCAAATCTGTCCGTTACTGAAAATAGTAACAGATTCACTGGTGCCAAGTTATCGAATTCCATACCTGACTGTCAAGAATATTGCAGATCAAATCACATGTATTTACTTCCTAGCCGATAATTTACATTTTTATCATTATAGGCCTACCTGGTCTAGTGATCTTTGTGCATGTATACTGAGAGAGAGAGAGAGAGAGAGAGAGAGGGAGAGATGGGGTTTAACGTCTACTCAACACAAACTAGGTAATTTCTGGACTAACACATGGTTCAATTTTATTTCTATAATTCACTTGCGCGTATAAGGGTCTTTAGCGGTGCGGGGAACTGGAGGACTCGGAGAAAACCCATGAGGTTGGACATGCGACCCTTCCCCTTGTCACGTCTTATGATACAGTGCGCACGAGCTAATCTTTCAGCCATCCAGCCCCCTATGTGCATGTATACATTATTTGTTTTGGCAGTGTGGGTTTATGATTGTAATATTGTGATTTTGTTAATATATTGTGTTGTAAATAGTTGTCTACTTTTTTCATGTTTTATTATACTGACATTCTCTTTTATACACCTCTGTGTTTCTCGTTATAAAGGTCAAAATGTAAGACATGCCCCCTGATCTAAACGTCATTAACTCTTTTAAAATAAAGTCATTATTATAATTATTAACTTGTAAGTATGGGTGTGTCTGTGTGTAGGGCGGGGGGCGGGGGTAAATAGAACGGGAACGGGGAATTTATAGTGACCGATGGAAATAATAATAATATGGCCATATCTCCCTGTTGTCTAGATTTCAAAATAAAACCTTTTTAAAAACTCGATTGAAACAAATTTCGTCAGCAGTGCGTGTGGTGGGATAGTCGTAGCAGCGGGACAATGTTCTGTAATGTCGCCCCCAGTGGGGGCGGTCGCACTATAAGGGAAACATTAATGCTGATGAATATATAAACGCGGAAAAACAAGTTTGCGGAAAATTGAATATCCTCTCATGAACCCAATCATTCGCACCAAATTTGAAAAAAAGATTTAAAAACTGTGGCCTCTTTTATCCTGTTAACAACGTTTTTGGCTAATGAGACATAGTCTCTATCGTATGTTAAAGACTAGGAGGTTCTGGGTGACCGAGACTAAATGAGACAGGGCTTAATGTTAAGGTTTTATTGGCGAATCACGGTTTCCGGTGTTTTAGGGTTCCGTGAAAATTTCCAGTATTTGACTTCTGATTATAACAAGATATCACACTTACACTTATAGAACAGAATTAACATATTTATATTTATTAACAAGAAATATTCAAAGTGGACCCAAAGGCAAACGACCCCTCGCTGTCACCTGCACCAGACGATGTTCTGTCATGTAATTTTCGTGCTTTTGGTGGTGATGGGAATACGTAAACAATAAAAAAATTTAAAACAGAAATCGAAAGGCATCCATGTATGATCATAATGATAGCTCAGATTCCCCATTGACTCTTTTCAGATTTATAAGGCCACATAACATTTTTTCATGGCACGGATTTCAGATTTTCAACACATGTTTTTTTTTATCCAGAGGCACGCCCGTGTATGCAGGCGCGTTAAAATAGGCACTGTAACGGGGTATAACTCTCGAACGAAAGAATTGTTCTTAACCGAGTTATTTTGACCCTTACAATATATATTGGGGTGTGTGGGTGTGTGTGTGTGGGGGGGGGGGGGGTAGCTAGAATGGGAAAGAGTCTTTTGACCCTTAAAATATATAGAGGGTCCACAAACTGGAGTGTAATCCAACAAGTTGCAATCCGATGCACACCGATACTGAACTCACCAAGCTTGATAATATTGAGGGAATGCTCTTCGAAACGTCGCCTAAATAAATCGGTGGCTGTTCCATAACTATGTGTTATAGTTTATTATTCCACGATCCTTTGATCCTTAAAATAAAATGAGGTTTAACGTCCCAGTACTGTTCTGCTCTCTGGAGTAATGAAGACGGGCATACGCCATACAGTTTGCAATGAGGGAAATTTTGCCCGGGTAAACGGCCTACTCTTATATCGAATTCCAATTACCAAGGGATCTTTTACGTGCACGCCAGTGTGTACACGGGACCTCGGTTCCGAACGACTAGACAGCTGTCCTTGCCAGGCCCCCCGTCCTGCATCACTGGCAAGGTGAAACCACGCCGGAAAATCTAGATGAACTTTTTCGGCCAATACAAGGATCGAACACCCGACCTCCAGGCTAGCAAGCCAGTGTCTTATCCACCGTGACCCCCCCCCCCCACACACACACACACACACTCACCCTTGATCCTTAACATATTGGCTATATTAAGTTTCATCTAAAATTGTTGCCTGGGGACCACAAAATTGGTATATATATCAGATGCTTTGTGACTATTTGTGTAAAGTGGACCGGCCATTTTAACTGGAAGTTAGTGTCCGATTTTCACAAAATGAAATTTGAATGAAATTGTGACAAATACAGTCGGCTCTGTTTTGGCAGCCTAGGCTTTCATGACAAAATAGACATTTCTGCTTGGGCCCGCCCTTATGTTCAGCAGGGCTGCGTGAAAATGTGGTGCGCATAAAAATGCACTGTTTATTGCGAGTAAAGGGGATAGCGAGCTACATCTATTTGTTAAGGCCTGCTCAATTTTTTCCAAGGTCGCTGAGATGTAAATAAGGTTAGAACTGTACGTGATTGTTGGCGAGATTATAGGTTAGTGTAAGATCCAGGGTTAGGGTTAGAGTTGGGATTAGCGCTAGCCCTGTTCACATCTCGTGACCCATGACCAAAAATTGAGCTGGCCTTATCATTTAGCACTAACCGGGGATAGCGTTATCGGGGTGCGGCGTGCATTCTGCACACAAGAGAATTAATTAACTACTCTACTTCGACAATAGATCTCTGCCCTTAATTGCCGCCATCAAAATTCTCGAAATATACTTTGTGTTTTTCACTAAAGTCGTCGATTCAAGCCTTAAAATGCCAGTCAACTGGCTTAGTGTCTGTTCTCTTGAAAGCGGAGCTAATTGTGTAGACAAGAGTACAGCCTAAATTTAGGTGTGACTAGATATCCCGCAAAACAATGCGACTGGACACTCGAGGCTATCGACTCTTCAACAACAAAACAATATGGCGGCGCCCATGGAGCAATGTCTATTGTGTCACGAAAGTCTACCGAAAAAGAGTCGAAGGTCGTTGTTTGTTAAGGAATTTGCTTTGATGACACAGCTAGTTGAAGTCTTGGGATACATGCCCCAGAATGATGACAGTTCCTCGCGATATGTTTGCAGTTTTTGCTTTTCAAAGTTAAATAAATTACAAAAACTTGATTACGATATTGTGCATATACTTAACCGATTGAGAGAAGAAAAAATGGCCTTGTTAAACATAATGCGAGCTAAGTTTTTGACACAGCCATCGGTTATAGATCATGAAAACCCATTGTGTGGCACTACTATTCAAAAAACATCTCTGTGTAGTATTACATCACGTGATGAAAATAACATTGACAAGTGTTCAACACTACCTCCAATACTTTCAAAAATGCCTGCATGTACTTTGTCGTCTGTCAGTAATAGCAGAAGTATTACTACGCCGCCAACCTTCTTGTCAGACGTTACATCAATTCATCAAACAGGAACATTACCTGTAACAATATTACAGTGTCCATCATATTCTGTGCCAATATCAAAACAGATTGCCATAGCACCAAAACCAATGCCCATATCTACACCTGCTCAGATTATGTCTTCAAAATCAGGCTCATGTAGACGTAAGCGCTCACCTAAACTTACTCCCGGCCTTTCAGCACTCAAACGTAAGAAATCATCAACCACAAATAAAATGTCAGTGCAGTTAATTAGACCTACAGCAGAAATGGTAATATTTATTGGCTTAGAAAGTTACTTGGGATTCCCAAGCCTTGTTAAGTGCATGATCTGGCGAAAAAAAGGCATTTAATTCTTCGGATGGAACCAGAAAAGGAGCTCCAACAGTACACTGTTTGGTTTTCAAATAAAAGAACCCCCGAGTTCCACTGGTACACGTCAACTGGCGGGGTTTCGATTCCCCAGTAGTACATGACAAGGAGTAGTGTCGCCTGTTCAACCGTGGGGTTTTCTCCGGGTCCTCCGGTTTCCTCGCACTGCTAAAGACCCCTACGCGCAAGCGAATTATTGAAATAAAATTGAACCATGTGTTAGTCCCGAAATGACTTAGTTTGGACGTTAAACCCCATTTCTCTCTCTCTCTCTCTCTCTCTCTCCACTGGTACACTGCTTGGCTTGCATTTTTTTAATAATGTTATAAAACTTTTATATTTCACAGGACAATAATGATGTTATATCTTTCTATTTCAGGAAACAGATGTTATAATTTTTATATTACAGGAATCAAATGGTGTTACAACTTTAATATATTACAGGAAGCTAAACTAATGATGTTACAACTTTTATATTACAGGAAACTAATGATGTTATAACAGGGCCTATTTTAAGGTTTTATTGACGAAGCACGGTTTCCGGAGATGGAAGTTTTTTGATTGGGTTTCCCCACTTTGGTTTCCGACAAAATTTCCAAAACGTGACTCACGATTTTCCACACAGACTTTGTAGCTCAATTTAGCTTCTTCCATCACCGTTATTAGCTCTAATTTGTTGGAATAAACCTTCTGAAATCGTGACCAATTAGTTGTGACCAAAACAAAGGCTCACCAGAAGTGAAATAAATAACTTCCTGAATTATCACCAGGCTTACACTTTTAAAACAAAACAAGCGGTTGGCATACTCGATACGCCGAGATTCTGTAAGATATGGATAGGGAACAGGGAAAATCGATAGGGCTCAACCTCTCATTGTCCCAATGCTACACATCGAATATGAAACTTTAGCCTATATCGCATTCACAAGGTTTTTGGCAAAGTTTGGTAACTCGATGGGGTCGCTTCCACAAGGTTTTCCAGGGGGATTAACTCCGGAACAGAAGGTCGCGGAATGCTGATTATCGGTATGATTCTTGCTCCCGTGTTCTCAATTCATCACAATATAAATCTCACAAACTTTGTTACACTCTGTGTATGTAAGGACATAATCCAAGCAGATGCACCAAAATCGAATTCAACCAAGATCTTTTGATCCCCAAGATCTAAAACGGTCAAATATTGAGGCCTAAATTAAAATTTTCATACTATTGACATTTGTATTTATAGCTGCGTATCGGTATTATTGGCAGTCCAAAGAAACGCCCAAAAGCAGACGAACCTTTACTGTAACATGCAGCTGACTACTTCCGTCAACAACAGCTTTATTTTACATACAATCCACGAAATTGAATTGAAACCAAACGCAGTGATTGATGATCACAATGATTGTTAATGACACACTTGCTAAATTTCCTCATGCAATCTTTTCAGATTCACAAGGATACATAACATACCATGATACCATCTTTTCAAAGCATGGATTTTAGATTCTCCAAGCACAGATTTTTCATTTCGAGGCACGTCCGTGTCTGTAGGCACGTTAAAATAGGCCCTGTGTTATAACTTTTATATATCACAGGAAGCTAAACTAATGATGTTTTAAATATATTACAGGAATCAAATGATATTATAACTTTTATACATTACAGGAAGCTAAACTAAGGAGGTTATAACTTTTATATTACAGGAATCAAATGATGTTAAAACTTTTCATCAATGTGTTGTATGTGATGAGATTTTTCAACAATACAGTGACCTAGAAGTCCATAATAAAATACATGTTAAAGAAGAGAAAACCGATGATAGTGACAACCATAATACAATACCAGCACATGTCTACGGTGGTAAAACTGATGATATGGATGAAAACTGTCCAATACATTTTGAAAAATTGCAAACTGAAGGAGAAAAATATTGCGAAATACTTGTGAAAGAAGAGAAATTGGGTGGCGAAGTAACTTATTATGAATGTAAATTGTGCGGCGAAATATTTCACGATCACAGGGGTTTAGAAGAACATTGTAAAATACATGTTAAAGAAGAATCTGAACCAAGTTCGTCACATCAATGTAAAATTTGTAACATTAGTTTTACACAGTACTGTGATCTCGAGGCACATCATGGGTGTCACGTCAAAAATGATACAAATCAATCTAATGACATTCACGTAGGAATACAGCAACAGAAAAATAAAGGGTTTTTGTGCAACTTTTGTGCTCACTCATGTAAATCAAAAGGTCATCTGAATATTCATTTGCGAATTCATACAGGGGAAAAACCCTTTAAGTGTAATCTTTGTAGTAAGGCTTTCATTGAAAAGAGTAAACTGAATATTCACATAAGGACTCATACCGGGGAAAAGCCCTATAAATGTGGTGTTTGCAATAAATCATTTAATTACAAACATAGTCTACAGATACACATAACAACCCATACAGGGGAAAAACCCGCCCACTGTGACGTTTGTAATAAATCATTTCCTTCTCTCGGTTATCTTAGGAAGCACAAACGAATACATACTGGTGAAAAACCTTATAAGTGTAATGTATGTGGAATGACCTTTAATGATGGTAGTAACCTCCAGAAACACGCAAAAACTCATTCGGGTGTGAAGCCCTTTAAATGTGATGTTTGTGGTAAATCATTTATTCAGAATAGTACGCTACGAATACACATACGAACCCACACGGGCGAGAAGCCTTATAAATGTTGTTTTTGTGATATGTCGTTTAAGGATTCTAGTAATCTAACCAAACATACTAGGACACATTCTCGTGACTCTAACCAGGAGGTCTCCTCGGGTTCGCTTCCGATGTTAGCCAAGAAAGTTCCTCAGGATCAACAAGATGCTGTTCCTTGATCACTGACAAGGACAAACCAAAGTGGAAAGTACCAAGGAACTTTCTCAATGTTGTTCCTTGCCAGGCACTCTGTCCTTGATCACTGACAAGGGCAAACCAAGCTGGAAAGTAAGGGGAAACTTTCTCGGCCATACCAGGATTGAACCTGGGACCTTCTGGTTTGTGAGCTAGCACCTTATTCACTGAGCCATCATGACTTTTATATTACGATGATGTCACATGCAAAGGAGACATCTATATCTACATGTACTTGTTGTATATCTACCCTGAGAATATAAATCTAATCGTTGTATATCGGAATATAAATCTAATTGTTGTATATCCACCCTGAGAATATAAATCGAATTGTTGTATATCTACCCTGAGAATATAAATCGAATTGTTGTATATCAGAATATAAATCTAATCATTGTATATCCATCCTGAGAATATAAATCTAATTGTTGTATATCAGAATATAAATCTAATTGTTGTATATCAGAATATAAATCTAATCGTTCTAATCGGAATATAAATCTAATTGTTGTGTATGATCTCTGGAATATAAATCAAATTGTTGTGTATGATCTCTGGAATATAAATCTAATTGTTGTATATCTACATGTACCTAGTTCGAGCAGAAGAGTAGGTCTTTAAACCTGTTTCATTTGTATATCTACCCTGAGAATATATATCTAATTGCTGTATATCTACCCTGGGAATATAAGTGTAATCACTGTATGTTTACCTTGGGAATATAAATCTAATCATTGTATATGATCTCTGGAATATAAATCTAATTATTGTAAATCTTCTAGGGAATATAAATCGAATTGTTGTGTAGCTTTCCTGGGGAATATTAATCTAATTGTTGTATATGATCCCTGGGAATATAAATCTAATTGTTCTAATATAGGCTACGTGTATTGAATTCAGCTGTTTTTTTTATATCATTTGTATGTTTGTGGTTTGTGCTTTATTGTGCAGGTTTCCTGAATTGTGTTTACATCAGGAATACTCTCGATTGACAAAGAGACACAGACAATTCTTTTAAATGTGATTTATTTATTACATTGTGTAGTCAGACAACTAGTACTGTCAATTTTTTAGTCAGATATCTAGTCCTGTCAAATGTCATAATGAAATTGTTTAGTCATTTATCTAGTCCCGTCAACTGTGATCGTAATGAAATTTTTTTTAGTCAGATATTTAGTTCTGTCAACTGTTATTATAATGGAATAAAGTGACATAATATTTTGTTTCTGTGTTATTATTTCAGTTGTGTGCAAAGAGGGCGGTGAGCATCCAATTCAGGGGGCATCCAATCCATTCAAAGAGTGACATCAAATTATAAGTTTTTTTTAAATTTGAAATTATCGCCATAAACTTTGTTGTATAACCAACCTGTTCTACCTTAATTTGAATCAAAAGTTTATTTCATCTGCTTTAACATTTTTAAAATGTCTTCTTTCCTCACATTCTTCAGTACCATCGGTAGCCTCTATAACCCTTTTGCTAAAAACCTTGTGAATGCGATAACGCGGTGGACACATTAGCTGAATGATGTGGCCAAATTGTTCAGCCAAATCCAATCGGAGCCAAAATTCGGCTAATGTATCCACTCATATCGAGAAATCACATGAATGTTTGTAGACATGGTCGCTGCCATGTTTAATCGTGAGGTGAAAGGTGTTGCAATTGATGGGTGAAACGGGCGAATCATTCCTCAGTTTGTCCACTCATTTGGCTGAATCTCATCCGGCTGCAGTTCGGTACCAAATGATTTGGCCAGTCTGTTCAATGCTTAAATTCTAAAGTTTTAAACATATTCTTTTCAAATTTAATATGAAGCATTGCGGTAATGAGAGGAAGAATTCTATTGATATTGTGTGTATTTCCACGTTTTGTGTTGCTACCTCAAAACTTATTTTACTTGGAAAAACTCATTAGAAAACCAAGCTATATTTATTAAAAAGAAATAGATGAAACGTCTACCACTAATAAATGGCCAGTCCTCAGCATGCGAGTGACTTAGTTGGGTTGTTGCGTTCCTCGTCCAGAATGAGAAAATCCTGCTGACAAGATGTGTAGGTAGACCTAACAGACATTGCAAGCAATCGGTATCAAAAGAAGTGAATGGATCTGTGGGCCCCTCGACTTGGCAAACCTCAACAGTACTGTTAGTGCTAAATGATAAGGCCAGCTCAATTTTTCGTCATAGGTCACGAGATGTAAACGGAGCTAGCGCTAATTCCAACCCTAACCCTAATGCTTACCCTAACCCTAACCTACAATCTCGCCAACAGTCACGTGCCCTAACCTTATTTACATCTCAGCGACCTTGACAAAAATTGAGCTGTCCTTAACAAATAGATTTAGCCCAACAGTACCCTACATCTAGCTGTAGACTGTAGAGCACCAGAATCTAGCGAGGTTTTCCGAGTATGGGTCGGCTGCCAGAGTCTACAGCTAAATCTATTTGATAAGGCCAGCTCCATTTTCGTCAAGGTCGCTGAGATGTAAATAAGATTAGGGCCTGTGATTGTTGGCGAGAGTGTAGGTTAGGTCCTCAATTAGGGTTGGGATTAGCGCTAGCCCTGTTTTAGTGGTTACATCTCGTGACCTTTGACCAATCATGAAGTTGGCCTTATCAAATAGATCTAACCCATCGTCCACTGCATGCGAGAGTGAGTTAATCGGGTTGTCGTGTTCCTCGTCCATAATGGATAACATAATGTATTAACATTAGTGATGGCCGCTGCCAAATTACTTCATTAGAGTCGCCTGTGATCCAATCTGATTAAAATACAAACACAAACTACATGTAGGTCAATTGAAATGTGTGGCTTGTGGTAAACCATTTCCGACCAATGACAAGCTCTGGAGACATGCCAATATTCATGTAGATGACAGACTTCGACTCTTCTTTCAAGTGTGGAATTTCTAAATAAAAGAATGTTTTATGATGAAATTAGCCTAAAGAACGACACAAATCTTTTATATTAAAGGAATTTTTTTTTTTTTTTTTTTTTTTTAGAATAGTTTATTTACAAAAAAATATAAATACACCCAAATATGCATGCAATATACAATTTAACATTAACATTTACTTCAGAGTCAATATTTAATTATTTACATTTACTTCAAAGTCAATATTATTATACATACAAAGTGTAATTTACATATGATAGATTTATACTACTTTAAACATAAATAATCAGTGCAGTGTTTGTAATAAAGACATACAAGACCTAGAGACATAGAAAACTTTAATTAGTGTATTGTCAGAGTTCATACCAGACTTTAATCGTGTATTGTCACACTGCACTTTAATCAGTGTATGTCAGAGTTCATCCGGCCATTCCAATCTCATGGGTTTTCTCTGGGTCCTCCAGTTTCCTCCCACTGCCCAAGATCCTTACGCGCAAGCGAATTATTGAAATAAAATTGAACCATTTTTAGTCCCGAAATGACCTAGTTTGTGTCAAGTGGCATTGAACCTCATTTTTAAATCTCTCTCTCTCATCCGATCATTATTAATTCTATGTCATTATGCAATCAGAAAACTGTTTTTGAAAGCTATTCACTTATTTGATACAATTTCAATGATTAGATTTTGGATGGTTTGAATCTTCTTAATTATCATATTTCACATGTTTATTTAGTTTCAGTTATTATAGAAGTCGTTGCTAACAGGTCGCATCGTTCATGGAAAATTTCATAAAAATCCATGCAGGCATAACTGAGAAAATTAGACTTTTTTAGTCAATTCACCCTTTCTCATTATGATTTTAGGCCAAGTTTGGAACATAGTGAACAAAGCTTGCAGTTTTGTAGTTTATCAAATCAACCCATTTAACAAAACCTACAGTGCTAGGTTTAAAATGTGCATTTTAGAAGTCTTCTGAAGAGAGAGAGAGAGAGAGAGAGAGAGGGTTCAATTTTATTTCAATAATTCGCTTGCGCATAGAGGTGTTTAGCAGTTGGGGAAAATGAAGAACCCAGAGACAGCTCATGAGGTTGACCTGGTGACCCTACACGCATTTCACACGACTCAACAATAATAGCTTTAATACAAGTTCAATTCAATTGTCGTATTATTATTTTGGACTAATAATAATATTTCTCAATGTGCTCCCATTTTATCACATTTGCCTGTTGAAAGATAATGGACTATATGCTTGCATTACCAAGGAAGATTTGCCTGTAGCTGCATTGAATGAAATATTAAATTAGATTATTCACTTCTTTCAAACCATACAGATACAGCCATTGTAAATGACGTTTGAATAGAATATTTGACAGTTAACTTTTTACCCGGATGGTCGTGTGATAGATTATGTTTCGTTGAATAAGTGTTGAATAAACATAGAGATATAAAAAATGTAGATTTTGTTTAGAACAGTTTCCGTTTGAATTTGTGAATTAAATTATCTTTAAGTTTATTCAACCACCCGGAGACCACTCCTTTCAATTTATATTTAAAGGTGCATTATGTAAGAGCTAAATCCGCCCATTGCAGTTCTTTTATTTTTAAAGGTATATTATGTAAGAGCTAAATCCGCCTATTGCAGGTCTTTTATTTTTTAAGGGTATATTATGTAAGAGCCACGACCTTGGAAGGTCTTTACTTTGGTTTCAAATGATATACAAATTATCAATTAGACATTTATTCACACGACAAGCCTATAATCAACTCTCTAGAACATCGAATGGCTGAGACGTCAACAGGTTGAAATACGATCGATATTTAATGATTTACTTTAAAAATGGAGAAGAGAGACGTAGTCTCAAATGAAATGAAATGAAATGGGGTTTAACGTCCTACTGTTCTGGTCCTATACTGGGCTAATAAAGACGGGCATACGCCATACAGTGTGCTAAAAGGGAAATTTTGCCCGGGCAGCGGCACTATCGCCTACTCTTATATCAAATTCCAACTGCCAAGGGATCTTTTACGTGCATTCCAATGTATACACGGGACCTCGGTTTTTCGTCTCATCCGAAGGACTAGACAGCTGTCCTTGTCAAGCCCTCTGTCCTGCATCCCTGACAAGGGGGAACCACGCCGGAAAATCCGGACGAACTTTCTCGGCCAATGCATGTATGGTTTCTCATTTGTCATGATTGGTTGTCCAATTAAAATTATTTACCCCTATAATCCGTCATATGTATATTGCCTTTGATCATGTTGTTTTTTAATCCTTTGATCTTGTTGTTGTCATGCATGGTTTCTGAATTGTTGTTATTGCTTGTCTATATATAATTGCTCTACACATTTGTTACTGTACTTGCTTGAAAACTTTGAGAGAATACTCTTCGAAACGTCGCCCAAATAAATCAGTAATTGTTCTTCCATAAGTATGTGTTATAGTTTATTGTAATAACTTACTGTGATAAAATGCAGTCCAAGTCAGGTGTGAAAGAATAGATGCTTCTCAGGGCATTAGGTCTGTAAAATGGGTGTTCTTGTTGAAATTTAATGCACTTAATAGTTTAAATCATGCAGAGCTTTACAAGACATAAGTTTGCAAGAGAACTTAATTCCAAAGTAAGTACCAAGTTCATTCGTTGGACTTTTAGGTTAATTATATAGGTTTTTGTTCTTTGGGGTGTATTTTTCATACATTACAAATGTATATGTATGCATCGCCTATGGTGATTTTGAGGAACTCGTGAAAAAGGGCCACTAGCGAGGCCCTTGAAATTTTCAAGTCCTACTGCCAGGAATGTCAGAAGAAGCACAAGCGACCAAGGGTGTGGTGCTACGTCCCATTCTCACAAAGGATTTCGCCTCGCGCGCACAAATTGATCTTATTGATATACAGTCCATGGCCCAAGACCACTTGACCAAGTTTGTTTCTCTACGAGAATTAACTCCAAAGCGTGCTGCTGAGGTTGCCCATCATCTACTGGATAGTTTTCATTTTGTTGGTGTTCCATCTATCCTCCAGATTGTGGCCCCGATTTGTCATGGTTTATGGTAAACCTCGACACTCTCAAAATCAAGGGTTTGTGGAAAGAGCAAACTATGGTGACATCAAGGATATGCTTCTTGTTTGGATGGGAGATAATAACAGAAATGTTTGTACGGTGATCCAAATTTTGACACGGAATATTAATTATTTTTCCCTTTAATTTAAAAAAAAAAAAAAAATGGCCATGTTTCCGATGAGAGCTCACCTCTTTAATATGATTGTACCAACTTTTACTAATATTATTTGGAAAGATTACTTAATT